CATCACCATTCACCGTCGAACAGGTTAATTTTAGCTTGTTCAGCTGATTTGCGCAAAAATTCATATGTACAGTCATTTACCGTCGTTCCTCCTTCTGCCTACTACATTAGCACCTGATGTGCGCAAAAATTCATATGTATAGTCATTATTAACAAAAACATTCGGATCCTTTTATGAATGTAACAACGAACAGGAACAAAATGCCAGCGTCATCCAGTTCCAGTACTGATTCCAGGGATCTCTTCGTAGCAACTGGCAAGATTAAGACGAATAATTGTTACAGATACACGAGTCATTCCGGCGTGTGTTCCGTTGCGAGGCATTACGTGCGTTGATACCGCTAGCCGACTGCACGTCTCAGGCGGAAAAGAGCGACACACCTGAAATAATGAACGTTGCTCTACGCGCTAAATGTCTTGTCGAAGACTTACTTCTACCAATATATGACAATTAATCAACAACTCGTGTCAACTTATTCTTCCACTCGTTTCTGTCACTTTCCTTCTGATCTGTTCAATTCGATTTTCATAATTCGTGGTGAACTTATTGTTCGATGAAATTACAGATCAACTCTTTGATAGTTAAGGGACGAACTGGCTTGGACGAATACATTTTACGATTGTATGAGTGAGGATCAACTGAAAAATTATCATGAATGCTTTCAAACTTTTCAATCGTGTGCAAATAATTCCCACATCTTTAAACGTTTCTGAAAAAATACAAAAAATCATCACAAGATTAAATTTCTTTCGAAAAGCGATCAGCGATTGACAACGTTGGACACTCGGGTCATAGGAACGGACGAACACTTTAAAAGATTCGTTTCTTTCAAACTTGAAAACGATAATTGCTTCAAGCGGTTCAAATCAAACTTAAAACTGTTTATTATTGCGGAGTCACCGGTTTTAGAATATTCGTCACTACATTTTCGTTTGTTGTGCACTCTTCAATTCCATGAGCTTGATTGTTTTGAATGATGAACGTCTTGTGATTTGACTGTCTGTTTTTCGATTAATCTTTGTGATCGTGCACTTCTGATATTTTGCACTGTGAGTGACCCAATGAAGTACTACACAATTCAATATTTTATACAAAGTTTATTCATCTATCACAGCATTATTTCATCAATTGACTCGAAAAATATCAACTACTAAAAGGTACAAAACAAAGTCACAATGTGAGGCACCGAAAGTTGCAACAAATACAGAAGCAAATACTCAGAGTATCTCATCACTTCACACAAGTAATCCGACTCTCAAAACACAGCAATGAATCGCCAGGAAACTGCTCGCGAAAGAGAACTCAGTTCGCGGAGTGGATTTAGGATGAAAGAAGCAAGATTGATAAGATCAAGTGAGTTATTTTACAAAGAATCACTGTACAAATAGACACTGGAGCATATGCCCAGTTTGTTTCGATAACTAGATTTCGATAACCGAATCGCACACAACCCGATGCAAACTTCAATGGTGCACTAGCATAATTACCTCCTAGAAGTGTCGCAAAATGTTTATAGAAACTTGTTCACTGAGAAAACATTGGAACTGTCTTGCCTTCAACATCTGAAAATTGCACGAAAATGCACGTTGATCGAGTTTCTGACCGTTTCAGCATTTCAAAAAAGTGAAAGGGCCATCGACATCGGTTTCATATCCATCGTTGCTCAAATTGCCCGATATTGATACGATTCGAGAAAGTTCACCGAATGCAAAATTTACCCTATCAGCAGAAATCAATTATATTTGGTTTTTACGTTATCCTGTATAAGTAAAACCTTCGAAAAGTTCACAGTACACGAACAGATTTTGTGGGAAGTTTCCCTGCAAAACTCGAAAAGCTGAAAGACTGATGCAGGCAGCAACACACATCCAACAGATAAGAGAACGGTAATGATATTAAATTATGCCAGAGTAAGGTGCAAGGCTCACTAAATCAAGGAACAAACGAATAGTCGATCTGTTCCACGCCTCGTATTCGCAATAACGTGCAGCAGCACAGACTGAAGGTCACTTGAAACTGATGAATTGAGCAATTGTCATTAGCTATAAACGATCATCAAGAGTCATATCCTTGAGTACGATAAACTGGGAAAAGGACACCTTCTTTTGTCGCTTTCAGTGTTGAGCTCAGTGTTGAATCCTGCAAACAAACCTCACTGAACCACTTTTCAGGTGAGTTTCGATGAACAAAAATGCACTGAATCTGCGTGCTTGTGATAAATTCACTAGACGCATAGTTTCCTATATTACCAAAGAGTTTGACAACGATTATATGAAGAATTGCATCGTTCGATTCGTTGTTTATCTCATCAATAAATCAAAAACTGTTCAAAAAACAGTCACTTACCATTTCGTTCACTAATGTATGCACCTGCATTACATCACCACTAAAGTTCCTCGATCGTGGCCCAATCTTTCCGTATGCGTCGCTGAGTTGTCTGAATTCGTTAATCATTGTTAACTGTGCACAAGGGTTCTCCTCAACACTCTATTTCGTCAGAGCGGACATTAAAGTAAAAGATTTCGCGAATCGCGATGCAAAATATTGATGAATTGATGATTCAACCGATGTTTGGCTTATCACAGAGGACAACTAGTGAAGCGTACGGAATGGAAAGAATGCGAGGTGATAAAGGAGAAGAAATCTACGCAAGAAAGATTATTTCGTGTCCAGAAGTGCTGTTTCGCGACCGATAAGCTTGAATAAGAAGTAACCGAAGTTCAGTGGCATGACTTCTCGAAGTCTTAGTCGTCGTCTTACTAATATGGTCACACAAATGTTCTTGAATTTGTACTAGTTGCGACTGAATTCCTTTTACAGAATATTTCATTGATCTGTTGGCGGTTCACTGTATGTTTCAAAGGATATTTTTTGGTGAGCATTTTCGCTCTGTCAGGTCTGTCAACTCTGTCGCTCTGTCAACAGGGTTGCTGACCGACAATGAGCAGTGAATATTGTCGAATAGCTCTCGACTACAACACTCTTGACGAACCACTTCAGTGGTGAATGTGTTAGGTGAGACACTATTGCCGAATTTTAAACGGAACACGAACTGGAATCATCACTGGAGTTGGAATGAATTCTGAGTGAACCAACCTCGCTTTCAATGGCACATTGAGTGTTCGGTTTGCATACTGAAGTCCATCGTGATTATCCACGGGATTCTGCGCAGATGATCCATTCAGCTTTTTGCTACAACTGATTGCGATTTTGATCACTAAGCTCTCATGGAACCGATGATCGGTATCATTATGAGATTAATTTTGAAATAACAAGTTGATATCCGAATACCTTGAAGAGGTATTCAAATGGTAGTTTCTGCTGACTGAACCACTCAATAACTCACTCGTAAGTTTTACTCTCTTCATAAGGATCTGGTAATGGTCGAGAGGATAGTATGGTTTGTGCAGTTTTTCGGTCGATTTGTTCAACATCATACGGTCGTGGTCCTGCTGTCTGACTGTCGACCATATACTCTCCACTGAGTTCACCTTTTATTCGGCTGAAAATTCCATTTGTTTCAAGAATTTCACAATACAGGCCAAAAACACTTTCCGAAAAGCGATTCTGATCGAAAGGCAGGTAAAATGTGCGCTTTCATTGAACGCTTATGAGAGCATTCTCCATACTATTTGCATTTATTACACGCTCAGTCGGTATCGCAATGCCCACCTCAACAGTCCATTAGGGATTATAGCATAAAGAGGAAAACGTAAAAGTCCGAGAGCACAAAGCATTTTGCTCCTGAAAGATCAAATTTTTGGGGAGCGCGAGTTATCAAAGGTAGATTATACTAGGGACTATCCAAGCCTCAGCCTTACTCGCAACTCAGTGTGGAAGGAAATGATATATTAAATGCTTGTATTTATTCTAAGTGCAGGATTTTTGAAGCGATCGGGACTTCGCACGCGAACTTTTTAACATTTGGCTTGGAGGGATGATCAAGGTGCCGATGTATAACACCAAAGACTTTTGAGCTGTAAACGAACCGTTTGCAGTACTTGGCAATGTAGAAGAGCATACAGAATGCGAGTAGGAGTAGAATGACGCAAATCAAGATCAGTGCAAGCTCAAGCATTGAAATACGTCCGGTAGAGTCGACGGCTGGTAATGTTACTGCCAACTTAGGTAATTCTGTGTCAAGTGCACTACGGCTCTGTTCGAGGATTCTAAATGAAAATGTCACTTTGAAGCAAATAGTGATAGTGATAAACCTTCGAAATCAATTATACTTCAGCAGTCAACTCAGTGAATTGCCTCTTCTCTGATGTTCCGAAACAAATGCATTCGTATACGCTCCAATAGATAACCCTCAACCAATTCTCATCTCTTTACTGATTGTGAGCTAAATTATTTAGTCATTATCGAGACTAAACTGATTTGACAAAAGTTATCGGCCCTTGGAATCATATCAGTTTGATGAAGGATCAATGAAGGTAAAATGAGCGCTGNTTATCGAGACTAAACTGATTTGACAAAAGTTATCGGCCCTTGGAATCATATCAGTTTGATGAAGGATCAATGAAGGTAAAGTGAGCACTGATAGCATCAGGTCGTTCCATTACATAACACTGATTGCTACTGCCATTAAGAATAATGAATTTTGACTTTTTTAATAGAATCAGATGATCGTTCGCGTTACGGTCTCATCAATTACGTTTTTGCGTGAATCAATGAAAACGAAAAAGATAATGCTGTAGAAAAAAATTACGTCTTGAGTTGATCTCGATGGATTGGTACATGAGTCTTTTTGTCGAGTGCGTAGACGAAAAGGTGAGTTCTGCAATCAAAATAAATTTAGAAATGATCACTGAAATTCATAACTGTTGGCATACCTGCAATGAAATTTACGACAATGATGGTCATTCTAAATTGCAACTAAACGTTCTCGCTTCTAACACGACAGCATCTGCACACTAGTGTTGTCAGCCCACTCCAGGATCACTTCGCAATGAGACAAAGTGGGCTTTACATCAGATTTATAGAAGAAAATTGAGTGTAAAGATTTACACGTATTCATTTCGAATTGTGCTTTTCTTATTCTGTTCAGATAGTCTTGCGATGATTTATTTAACACGATATTTGCTTGAACGATGAACCTTTGTGGATTAACTTGTCCTTCATCGTTAACGTATGCTTGCTTGACGAGAACGTGTACATCCTTGTCGGTCAGTTCGCTCATTTTCCTCTCCACCACCCAGTCTTCGATATCATGCTGAGGAACATCTGCCGACAAGAGAACGATATTGGTTTCGGGAGCTAAACGATAGATCTGCAAAAGGTGTTGTTGCTACGTTGGCAATTTTGTTTT